CAAATGTTCGGAAGGGTTATAATATTTTTCAAATGCGTCATTGAGAGTGTCGAAGATGGTCCGAATTTTCCATAGTCGGTCATAACTGTCGTCATTCCTGTCAATTTCTGTCCTGTTGTCTGCAAAATGTAGAAAACGAAGAATATGAAGAAATCGGTCGCGTTTCATTGTCTCAGAGTAGAAAGGCGTGGCAAATTGTTTTAGAGTCGACCAGTAGTCCGTTAGTCTGTCTCTAATGTCATGTCCCATTTGAATGATTATTCCTAGAAACAGAAACATCTCGGATTCGGTCACGTCAGGCCGCGGAGAAGGTCCGTCTTGACGTCTGTCTACGTGCTGGTGGTAGTATCTGTTCGACTCTTCCACCAGCAGATGGATAATCTCTGCGAAATACAGCATGAAAACGCAGAAAGGGGTGGAATCCTTATTTACATGTGGAGCTTCATGGGTTTTTAACCCCACAGCTCCACCTGAAAAAGTATTCACACTCCTCGTGCCACGCTGGTGTGGTGGTCCCCAGGTTGCCGACGAAGATGATGGGTCTTCATCGTAATCACTTTCTGATTCGCTACCTTCAACGTCACTCTCAGAATTGTCAGTCCAGCAATCTGAATCGGAGTCATTGATTAGCTGAAATATGTCGGAATCTTCCAGATGACATGATGCCATTGTCGGATCAAACTTTGAAATAGCTTGACAAAACACTTCCACTCACGAACCTAGCACTCAGTGTAATGAAACTTTGAACTGTATAAAAACAGTAATCTTAGTGTGCAGCCCAGCGCGATAAACCACACTGAGTTTATTTCACCCGCCCACTAGACTCTAGACACAACATCCGGTGTTGCCGTAACTTGCACAAGTGTCGTCATCCACCAGCTTGCATTCATACGTATCGAGAACGTATGAGTTCTTGTAGGGAAACAAAAAACTGCGAAATTTCTTATTTGGAGTCAGTGTAAAAATTTTAACATGTTTTATACAATCTGTAAATTACAATATCTGATTCTATATTCTTTCGAGAAAAAAGCAGCGTTTATTTCGTTCATTTATCACAGAAATTTGAAGTCGTCCAATTTAAGCTAGTGATTAAATTGGAATATTAAGAGCAAGACTTGGTGTAAGTGGCGTATAAACAACTGACACCTATATCCCTGCGGCACGGAATAGTGGTGCCATAGTGTCAGTTGTTACGTGAAACCAATATAAATATATATATTATGAGCAAAGGATGCCGCTTATCGTTTGAAATATTACACTTCGCAGCTGCAGTCCAGCGAGGTCTCAGGAATCGTTGGGAATATCGCTGGACCAGCGGCTTCGAAGATA